CTTTTCCATGTCAGGGGGCTGAGGCTCTGATGCTTATTGAGTGGGGGAGGCACCAGAACTCCCTAATTTCTGTCACCCTTGGTAAATTCTTTGGGAATTTCAGACTCTGTCTGCATAGACAATGCAAATTACCTCTTGCCTTGATGACCTATAATTAATCTTATCTCAGTGTTCCACCCATACTTCATGATGGAGTTTGTTTTGTTTTTGTTACTGAAAATGGTTGTTAGGTATCCTGCAAAATGAATTCACTTTGATCTTGACACATGAAGCAAAAGTATAAAATTTTTACCATACTTTTTCTTAGAATATGCCCGTAGGCAACAAACAGACAGGTCCAAGTCACAGGCATTTCCAGAGGGCTGAGTATTTTATGGTTAATTGTTATAATTACTTGCTTGTTTAGATACTGGTTTTTCCTGGTTACATAGAAAGTTTGTGGAAAGAGCGATAGAGATTTGGTCAGAAATTTAAATAAAAGCAATCTCTCTCTCTCTCTCTCTCTCTCTCTCTCTCTCTCTCTCTCTCTGAGTGGGGATGGGGTGGGATGGTGGAGTGAATTAGCTAAGAAGCAACAGGAGTACAAACAGGAAGTCAACCATGACCTTCAACAATCATACAGCCCTGTTGCCTCTCAGGTGTGGAGAACTGGCTTCTGGGAACCAAGTTGACATCCCAGAGTGGAAATGAGTCGCGTGGCTCCGTGCACAACCTGTCACTCCTCAGCCTAAACAACTGCACACCTTCAAGGTACAAAGAAAGGCTTTGGTGATTTTTCTAGCCATGGAGCAACTCAAAGACTGCCTGGAGGAGTTCACTACTGTCACACTGGCTTTACTTGTTGTCTTTGTAACCAGCAGGACAAAAATATATTTTAAAAAAGAAAGCTTTCAAGAAAGCATCCTCAGAAGCCACCCTTCTTAACCACTTATACAGCTGCGTCACTGGGCCAGCTTGCTCTCAGCCATTGTCTTCTGTAGTCTCAGTGGAAAAAGCTGGACAGGGCTCTCTGCAGAGCCAGGAAGGTGAGAAAGGAGTTGGCTCCATGGGCAAAAAGGGGCCTCGGCACAAGCTGTCTGCTCCTGACCCCCAGATTTGTAAGTTTTTCTCTAACTGGAAGAGGCAAGGGAGTGAGCTAAAGAAAAGGAGCCAGCGTGTGCCTGTTTGGGGGCTCTGAGTGGCTGTAACTTCCTGTGTGTCCCCCAGTTTTCATGATCAAGAGTGGAGCACAGTAGGAGAATTCCAGAAAGCAGATCTGGATGGAGCAAGACCGATGTCATTAGAGAGGCAACCTGAAGTCCTGGGTTGCCTGAGGAATGTTCTCCATGAGTTTTAAATTTTTTTTTCTATCAAGCTAAAAAGTCCTGGGAGATATTTCAGGAAATCAGACCTTTGTAATGGCTAAGAACAAAAATAGAGAACATAACACAGTTCTTCCAAAAGCTTCTCATTGTAGTTGCCAAGAAATCAAGATCAGATCCCTGGGAGACCAGCTCCCTTCGAGGACCTCAGGTTGCTCCTCACTTCCCTAATCCTGCAACCTATGCATGTTTTCCATCTGCCCTGCTGGATGCTCAAGGGGAGAAAATAAATGAAATGCAGAGCAGATCCTCTGAGTGTTTGCTCCCCTCCCAGTGTGTTGCTGCTGGACAGACATTTGCCTCTCTATTTAAATGAGAAGAAAGTGAAGGAATTGAAGAGAAGTTTTTAAAGAAAATTTTGGAGGGTGGAAGAAAAAAGAACAAGGGAAGGCAGGCTGTCCCAGGACAAGTTTTGTCAGCTGGGCCCCCTCAGTAAAGCTCTATTCCCTGCCATTTGATCTTGAGATTCTTCAGTGTTTAATGTAGAAAAAGTCATTGATATAAACCACAGAGAATACAGAGGCCTTGAACTATATAACCCAAGACAATGAAATTCAACTTAATTATGTATGTAAGTTCTTTTTTATTATTTTTTTATTCGTTTTAATGAGAAAAAAAGAATAGCATGAAGCAGTTTCAATACAGGTTATTAGAACGTTTGCAATAATTAATACATTGCATATTGTTGTCTTCATAGTAGTTATTCAGAGGACAAGATGCAGACATGATATCTTGTCCAAAAAATACTAGTAGAAACTTTTTTTCTCAGTGAACTAAGAGAAAGTAGCTGTATATCTATCCTAATGCTCGTGTGTGTGTGTGTGTGTGTGTGTAGAGTGTGTGTATTTCCTTCCCCCTTTTTTTCACAACAAAACTGTCCTTTATTTACACTTTTGTGAAGTTAGTAACACATGATACTAGGTTGCCTAGCAACTGATAGCAAACCTTAACCAGACAGGATGTTCATCTCAGGAGTGAGGTAGCTTGTTCCCTTTAGGCACTGGGCCATTAAATAAGTTCTTGTTTCAATCTCTCTCTCTCTCTCAAAAAAAAACCTTGACCTGATAAGTTGTTAATTATAGCGGATGAGAGAATGTATGTTTATTTTAAAAGTCTATGGGGTTGGGGTTGTAGCCCAGTGGTAGAGCCCTTGCCTAGCATGTGTGAGGTCTTGGTTCAGGTGCCAACAACCCACACCCAAACACGTACATATACACATGCATACACACACACACACACACACACACACACACACGAGACACACACAGAGAAGATCTATTAAGTATGGCTGTGGTCCCAAGCAAGTGTGCAGACCAGGGAGGCCACCCCACAAAGGGTGAGCAGGTGGAATGAGGCTTTGTCTAGGTTGCTGTGGCAGAAACTCACACTCCTCACAGTGGTATTTGCGTCTTCGAATCTGGGATGGTGTGGTGCTTAATTTTGTCAGATTGATTGGCTTGACAGATGCTTAGCAAATTAGTAAACACTTGTCCTGAGGCTGGGTGGGCCATAGGAAGGTGAGCTGGGGGACTGTATCTGGTCCCTGCCCCTTCTTGGTGCTGCCCTCTGCCTGTGCTTCCTGGCGGCCAGGAGCTGAGCAGCTGTCCTCAGCCCTGCCTTCTTACCATGATGTTTCTGCCTGGAAGCCGCTAAGGAGTACAGAGGTGCTCTGAAAATAAGCACTCATTCTGAGGGACCAGAATCTCACCCTGTAGTGCATCAAGAACCTGGAAGAATGCCAGGAGAAGCTCACACCACCGTGTCACAGAGCACTCTCTTCTGGATCTGTGCTACTGAAGCTTCTGAAATCGTGAGCCAAAAGCAATCCATTTATTCCTTTAAGTTGTGTGTGTCAGGCATTTTGTCACAGCAAAGAAAAGCTGATCATTACAGATAGGACAGGAGGTGGGGGCCAAACAGCTGGGTAAAACATCCCAAGACGTCTACCTTCTTATACACACACACACACACACACACACACACCCTAGTTTTATAGAGCTGATTTATCTCTTGCTGCTGTATTTTTGGCTACAATCAATCCCTTTAAAAAGTTTATTTTCCTTTTTCAAGCAAAAAGAGGAACCCAATGAACCCAAGACCTAGTTATTCTCATTCCCTGGTATTCCTCCCCGCCCTCATCAAAGTGAATCTACTATTGTTTTGTGTTCTAGTTTTTCACTCACTACATTTTAGTCTTCATGTTTCTGTGTGTAGATACTTAGTTCAGAGTCACAGAAAGCCGGAGATGGGGGAAGACTCTATGCATTTGCCATTTTTAGCACCTAGCCCTCCTGCTGTTGGATAGGAAGGCCAGCACCAGGGCTGTGAAATAGTGAATAATGGGAACAGTGTGATTTTAGGTTATCTTAACTACACAGAGATATATTTCAGCTCCCCGTTTCAGCAGTTTGAAAGCACAGGCTCAGAAGAAATGAGTGAGCTGGAAGGTCTCAGCTGCTTGCAGTTTTATGACAGGTCAAAGGTTTAAAGTCCAAAAGGGCTCAGATTTCTACCCCTCATTTGCCATCTCAGACGTTAGTCGGCAGGAGAGTGGAGCTGTCTTCCCTACTTTCCTGCCTATGGCAGTGAGATGAAGGCACAATGAACCTGGCCCAGATCGCTCTGGACCATGTGGGGACAGGGACACCCTGCACATCATCAGTGACCTGCGTGCTCTTCTCCCTGCCCCCTCCCAGATGTGATTTGGCCACAGGAGCTGCTGGTGAGTGGCACGAAGGATGCCTGGGGAGCAGCAGCATACTCACAGCTGTGGGACCTCCAGGGGCCCCCTGGGAGGCAGAAGGCCAAGCACAGGCAGACTGTACACCCTGCAGAGCTTCCCGGGCCTGGGCTTAAAAAGAATAAAAAGATCCCAGCCAACAAGTTGGGGCACATCTCAAGTTGGGGCACCTTTTACCCTCGTGCTTTGCTCTTTTCCTTTTTGGATCATATGCAGTTTCTACAAGACCTGACATTGGGCTTTTGGTCTAAATGATGGACAGAACTGTCTTTCTCTACTTGCAGGCAGAAACTGTTTTTCTGTTTATTGTTTGCCCAGCACAGATCCAGAAGAGAGTGCTCTGTGACACGGTGGTAAGAGCCTCTCCTGGCATTGTCTGGGTTCTTGACGCACTATGGGGTGAGATTCTGGTCCCTCAGAGTGAGAGCTTATTTTCAGAGCACCTTGTACAACCTTGGCTCCTTGATGTCTTATTTTGTGTATAAGTGTGTGTGACTTCTTTTTCAGATTACTTGGTTGTGATTTGAAACACAATATATAGTTTGGAAAAAGTAGTTGATTTTGACTCTCATAGAATAAATAATTTTTTTTTTCCAGTACTGGAGACTGAACTCAGGACCTTCCCAGTGAGATACTACACATCCCCATTCCTTTTTAAAACTTTAAAACAGAGTCACTAAACTGCCCAGACTGTGCTTGAACTTGAAATCTTTGGGCCTCAGCCTCTAAAAGTGCTAGGAGTAAAGAGTGTACCACTATACTCGGCTTCGCAGCTCGCATTTGATAGGTGCATTTGTAATTGTATTACATCATACAGATTAAGGTGGAAGATGAGTTAGTACTGAAGTCAAGCAAAGTGCCTAATTTTGTTCTCTTTTCTCTGTGTACTTTTCCAACAGAGCTCTCAATCCCATCACTGTAAAGCTCTGAGGAGATCCACAATCCAGACACCAGGAGTTGTGTTCAGGGCATTGGCAGATGGGCATCAGTGTCAGTTACTAACCAACAAGATGGAGACCACAGCCTTGAATTCTCAGAAGGCGCTATCGGTGTGTAAGGGCAGAGAGGATTGTCAAGAAAACAGTCTTTTACAGAAGAGTGTTCCCGCGCCGGGCGACAGAGCAGAATCTGGCCAGATATCCAATGGGTACTCAGCAGTTCCCAGCTCTAGCACAGGGGATGACACTGAGCGTTCAGTCCCAGCTGCCACTACCACCCTAGTAGCGGAAGCATATCAAGGGGAACGGGAGACCTGGGGCAAGAAGATAGATTTTCTCCTCTCGGTCATCGGCTACGCTGTGGACCTGGGCAACATCTGGCGCTTTCCCTACGTGTGTTACCAAAATGGTGGAGGTCAGTATCGTGGGGCCATCAGAGGTTCTGGTCTGGGGTGGGTTATTGATCTTGTGGGAGGTCAGAAGACAAATCACATCTTTGCTGTTTGTGTAACTGACTCGAGTCTGGAAATATGACTTAGTCTCCTCTAGTTTAAAAGACAAATATTGGGGCTTAGGAGATAACTCGGCAGTCTAAGCACCTGTCTGGCATGCACAAAGGCCAGAGTTTTGATCCCCAGTACAGCATGCTGTACTGGCCCTGGAACCAGGTACGCCCTGCCAGCCACAGGAACCAGGTGTGGTGGCACATGACTGTAACTCCAGTGCTGGGAAGGCTGAGACAGGAGGATCACCACGAGTCTGAGCTGCATAGGGAGACCCTATAGCAAGTAAATAAATAAAAGATTAAAAAAAGAGACAAATCTCCAGTAAATAAAAGTTTAGTTGGAGACCTTCTGGGTTATGAAGCAGGACAGACGCAATCCCAAGCCGGAACTCGCCTGTCCCTGCATCATTTGTATTGCAGGGTCTCCTCATCCTGCATTAGCCAAGTATATCCTCCACCAGGCCAGGAGGGAGGGAAGGAATGGCCATTAGCACCGTGCTGAGTTTCCTCGCCCTGCTGGCAGGTGCTGTGTGGAAGAGTGGAGGAATCAGATCTGCATAAGGAAAACCTGGGAGGTGTTTCCCGGCCCTACTTGGCCTTTGGACCTGCATGGCATCAGCTTGGGTCTGGACTCTCAGGTTACTCCTCTGAACATAATCTAGAACTGAACTCAGCCACAACATGGAACTAATGCCAGCCCTGATCCCCACATGATATGCCTGGGTCTCTTAAAGAGTGTTAGCTGGGCCAGGTGTGGTGGCATGTGCCTGTAGTCCCAGAACTCTGGGATGCTGGGAAATTTGATCCCTGGCTGGGCAGTTTAGCAACTTAGTGAGACTATCTCAAAATAAAAAATAACAAAAGGACTGGAGATGTAACTCATGGTTCATTGCAAAGTCCTGGGTCAATCCCCAGTGCTGGGGAAAAAGATAGTAGCTGGGCATGGAGGCACACAGCTGTAAACTTGGGAAGTTGATGCAGGAGAACAGAGAAGCCATATATTGTTCCTCCTTGTAACCTTAAAGCTTTGAAAGTTACTCTGTAGATAATCAGAAATCTTAAAGTGACTGCAGGCATATAAACATGAGAGCCTGGAAGCGAGCAGGTCAGGGAGAGGCTTAGGTGTGGGCCTCTGTGATGGTACTGAGCTGTTAATAATTATTTTGATGGGAAACAGACCTGGAATGGCAGTTGAAATGAAGTTTGGAGGATAATTCATGATATATTCACTTCTTCTGTGGCTGACAGTTGCCTTGATTTGCTACTTTTCTTAAGGACTTTTGTCCATGTGATGGCAGTTCCGTGGGGGCCCCTGGGAAGTTTGGAGCTTCCTGCCAAGGAGGAGCAGAAGCCATAATCACAATCAGGTTATCAGCAGCTCGGGCGGGGCGGACTCACCTTTAGCCTCCGCATTACTAAGTGTTGGGTCACCGGTGGCATTTCCTATTGTATAGCTGACCAAGCAGACCCTGTGGACAAAGGTCACAAAAACACAACCTAGTTTTCATTTTCAAGCAGGTTTAAGGAGCATGATTGTAAGTTACTTGGACCCTGCTGAGTAGCACTGACTTCAGGTTTCTAAGACCAGAGCATTTTATAGGAGGGAAAGTTTTATATCAGGGAGAATTACAGCTGACCTTTGGGCTAAGTCAGGTTGCAAGGAAGCAAACCCTAACTTAACCTTTCCAAATTTATCGTCAGCCACAAGATCTGGGCAACACTAGCATCTCCAGTTACGCTGCAGCTCTGCGCTTTCTTCTTCCATTGAAAAAAGAAAAGGCTCTTTCCAGCTACACAACCAAAGGTGGCTTGTGAGGAACGTTCTGCCTCAATGGAATTATGAACAGATAGCCAAGTATGAGTAATCAAATGTCAGGCGCTATAGATAAGACTAATGAACAAAGATTCTAGTTCAGTGGTTCATTGATGGTTATGGCCGTATAATCGCCACAGGCTTCTAGAGTTCCCAGGAGGCCAGAAGCCCACATATTGGAACCACATAGAGAGCTTGAAAGTAATTTCACACTGCGCCCACAAATGCACATTTCTGCTTCAGAAGATTCAGGACAGACCCTGGAATTAAGGGTGTGTTTTTAGGTTCACCAGTGATTGTGATACATCTCTGGGTTTGGAAACCTGATCCCTCCTCTACCCAGTCACCTTATAGGGGAAGAAATCAGGACTCAGAAACGGGTAGTGGCTCAGATTCTCAAGACAGTGAAGAGTGGAGTTGGTCCCAGTACCTGCTCTGTTGACTTTTGACCTAGCTTTCTTTCCAGATTCTCTGTCAGCCGCTTCTTGGAACCTCATTTAGCTGTGGAGCCCTGTCTACTGTTACTTCTGGCAAAGCGCAGTGTGGCTTTGTGATTCTCAAGCCTCCGTGATTCTGGTGTGGACCCTCTTGTCCAGATCATTTGGGCCGTCCTGGGACAGATGTGGACAGGAAGTAAAATTGTCTTTTCTCTGTCTCAGGAGCATTCCTCCTCCCCTACACCATCATGGCCATATTTGGAGGGATCCCACTCTTTTATATGGAGCTTGCATTGGGCCAGTATCACCGAAATGGATGCATTTCTATATGGAGGAAAATCTGCCCAATTTTCAAAGGTAATGAAGGGCTTACTTGGGTAGGCCAGTGGGGCATTTCCATTAGTGGGTGGGAGCTAGGGACCTGCTTCTGGAATTACTTAGACCTTAGGTATCTCTAGGAGATAACAAGTTATTAAGTTTTTGACTGCTCAAGTAGAGTGTTATTATTAAGAAGAAATAATAAATAACAATTTAAAGTAAACCAAAGTTTTAAAAAATTAGTAAATTTCTTTAAAAATGATAGCAAATGCTTGCAAATACAGATGAGTAATCTTTTGCATTGCCACTTTTCCCACCATCTCTTGAAGCCTTTTGGAAATGAAATGGAAGGCAATAACCATCCTTATCCCTCACCTGGACTGCGGGTCTCCAGCCCACTGTCTCAGCCTTTCGCTAGAGGGCTGCCCTTTCTGACCTTGGCCTCTCTCCCCTCCTGCCCAGGGATTGGCTATGCCATCTGCATCATTGCCTTTTACATTGCCTCCTACTACAACACCATCATGGCCTGGGCACTCTACTACCTCATCTCCTCCTTCACGGACCGGCTGCCCTGGACCAGCTGCAGGAACTCCTGGAACACTGGCAACTGCACCAACTACTTCTCCGAGGACAACATCACTTGGACACTCCACTCCACGTCTCCTGCTGAAGAATTTTATATGTAAGTGTAAGTGAGCAAGGGATCATCAGGGGAAGTCACACCCCTGAGGTCTGACTTCTTAGGAGACAGGTCGAGGCCATGGGCTTTTCCCTGTTTTCCTGGACGATTTCTGAGAGGTGAAGCTGTCAAAGGTGGGAGAACTATTCAAAGAGTTTCTGGTTTTATGTGTTAACTTCTTGAGTGTGATCTTCCCTTTGGAAAAGCATGCTTACAGAGCAACTTAGAGCAGGAAAGGCTTATCTTAGTCTTAAAGGTTTCAGTCATAGTCAGTGGCTCCATTCTTTCTGGGCCTGAGCAGATACTGCATCATGGTAGAAGGGTAAAGTGGAGGAAGCTGCTCTCTTGTGGCATCCAGGAAGCAAAAAGAAAGCAAGGAGGCCAAAGAAGGGGCTGCAGACAGATTTAATGCCTAAGATCACACCCCCATGATCCACTCCCTTCAACTAGGCCCTACTTCCCGCTTCCATCACCTCCCATAAATTATTATCTTATCAGTGAATTTATCCCTCATGATCCAGTCACTTCTCTAGATCCCCCTTCGCTAAAAATTTCTGTACTGGGGACAAAACCTTCAATCTGTGAGTCTTTAGGGGCACTTGATACTTAAACTATAACACAGAGGCCCAGTGACCATACAGATCTTTCAACACTGTGTCCATCTTTTTCTGCCACCCCCCTGGAGGCATCATATGCCTGTGGTCACATCACCGTCCAGATTCTCTCCTTTCTTTTTTGCTTTAGGCGCCACATTCTACAGATCCACCGGGCTAAGGGACTCCAGGACATGGGGGGCATCAGTTGGCAGCTTACCCTCTGCATCATGCTTATCTTTACCATTATATACTTCAGCATCTGGAAAGGTGTCAAAACATCTGGCAAGGTGAGAAGGACTTCGGCTGCTAATCTTTCCCTGCCGAGGGGCCCCACAGTGTGGGGATCCAGTAACCTGGACAGTGACAGTCAAACGCAGGATCCAGTAACCTGGACAGTAACGGTCAGGAGACAGTTGTTTTTCCTTCAAATCAAACACATTCCATGATGTCCTTTCTCTACCACATCGGTTAGAAAATTCTAGAAATTGGTCAGTACTGAGAACTGTTATATAATTCTGTTTTCAAAATTCCTTTAACCTACTGATAGAATCACAGTGAATAATAGTAGCAATTTTTTTTTCACTGTTGGGTGAAACCTGGAGCTTTACACATGCTAGGCAAGTGCTCTACCAATGAACCACACCCCTAGCCCAGTCATGGCAACAATTCACTAAAAAACCTCATGGGCTGTGCTTGATGTTCTGTCTACACTGGTTAAATATGTTGTGTCCTGCTAGATATTTCCTCTTTTTACAGATGTGTAGATTTTGGGGTGGGTGGTGCCAGCCAACCTAGTCAGATCCCTCCCAGATTCTGAAGGCAGAAAGCTTTTGGCCACACCGACTGTGCCTCCTAAAAGGATAAAACAAAGAGGTGTTTTCTCTGAGTCTTTAGGAAAACAACATTGATACCACTCATCTCCCTTTCTTCTTCTCTCTGGTAATAACCTGAGTTTCTGCTCTCCTGCCTTACAGGTGGTGTGGGTGACAGCTACCTTTCCTTATATCGTCCTTTCTATACTGCTGGTGAGGGGGGCAACACTCCCAGGAGCATGGAAAGGTGTGCTCTTCTACTTGAAACCCAACTGGCAGAAACTCCTGGAGACAGGGGTAAGATACTGAGGGAGGCAGCGTGGCCTGTCTGTCATTTATTAGAGGAAGCTAATTCTCCTTCAAGTAGGACAAGAGAGATGAAGGAAATTTAATTTCCACATGCAAGTGTGCAGTGATGCTTTAAGCCAGAAATACAAACATCAAAATCCAGAAATACAGTTAAGAGCACTGAAAAGGTTTAAGCCTATATGATAGGGTGATAAATCACGCGTGTTTACATCGAGTATGTGACTATCTCTGGAAGGAGCTCCACAAGCTGGGTTTTTGTGCCCTGAATACAGCCACCCTCCTCACCTCCCCCGTGTCCTCCCCTGCTGTTTCCAGGTGTGGATCGATGCTGCTGCTCAGATATTCTTCTCTCTTGGTCCAGGCTTCGGGGTCCTCCTGGCCTTTGCCAGCTATAACAAATTCAACAACAACTGTTACCAGTGAGTATCTGGGGCACCCACGCAGAGCTTGGAAATGGAGTGAACAAAAGTTAGCCGGTCTGGAGTCAGGTGATTGAGTCAATGGCCTCAGCCTGGCTGGAAGTGGGCCGGGATGGTACTGCCTGTACCAGCATGGAGCTATGGGAGACACTCCAGACAATAAGGAATATTGTACCAGTTATCACTTAAATGTCACTCCATGTATCACCTCTAGATTTAATTGTCCTGTCACAGAGAGCAATGTTCAGCAATCTATTTCTGCCATTCATAAAACACTTATAGGATTTTTTAAAAAATGAGTTTGCTTGGGGTGGTGGTGCATTCCTACAATCCCAGCATTTGGAAGCCTGAAGCAAGTGAATTGCCAGGAGTTCAAGGCCAGCAGGAACCGCATAGTGAAACTCTATCTCAAAAGGACAAAAAAATAAGAATGAGGAATACACATGTGCCCGGCAATATGACCTTGCATTGGGACATTGATATGAAGGTCTTCTTTTTAAAATGTAGTAAGTTAAGTCAGGCATGATGGCACACACCTGTAATCCTAATACTCTAGGAAAGTGAGGCAGGAGAGTAACAAATTCCCTAGCCTGAGCCATTTAGCAACTTAGTATGTCTCCAAAAAAAAAAAAAAAAAGCTTGGCATATAACTTAGTGCAAAGGCTCTGAGTTCACTCCCCAGTACTAACAACAACAAAAACAAAAAAGTAAGGATTTCTTTTTTTTTTTTTTTTGGTGTAACTGGAGATTGAACTCAGGCCCTTGCGCTTGCCAGGGAAGCGCTTATTCCGCTGAGCCATTTCCCAGGCCCAGGATTTCTTTATAACAAATCTGTGACTTCAACTGAAGATTGTTTCAAATGTCAAACATCTACTGTGAGGACTTCATAAACCTGAGGCCTAGACTCTATCCTGTCCCCACCCTCTAGCCTGGGGCTCGCTGTAGAACAATTCTCAGCTGAGCAGAGAGGGCTGTGCTGTGATATTTCACAAGAACCACCTCTTAACCCGCTACCTGCCACTCTTCCCACACTGTGTGTACAGTGTTTGCACTTCAAGCCCGAGAGCCTGGGCTTTGGGAGAAGGGGCAGGGACACAAGGACTCCACCAGGATCCTTTGAACCACACTGGCCTGTGTTGGCAGAGCAGGCACACAGACTGATGCTTCTTAGACTCCCCATGCAAGAACTGTCTCAGACCCCTTGGGTTTTCTACTCTAGAGATGCCCTGGTGACCAGTGTGGTGAACTGCATGACAAGCTTCCTTTCGGGATTTGTCATCTTCACGGTGCTGGGGTACATGGCTGAGATGAGGAACGAAGATGTGTCCGAGGTGGCCAAAGATGCAGGTAGGACATCGGGCTCTGTGCAGGTCCCTGATCCTAGTGCAATGCTTTACTTTGAATATTTACAGATAACTGACTTTTGAACTTTTTTATTTTTGTCTTTTTTGAGATAAGTTCTCACTATGTAGTTCAGGCTGGCCTTGAACTCACTATGTAGCCTAGGCTGGCCTTCAATTTTTAATAGTCCTCCTATCTCAACCTCCCAAGTCCTGGGATTACAGGTGTGTGCCACCATACTCATTTGAATTATTTTTAAACAATCCTTTAAAATTTCAAAGATTTGGGCCAGCCAGGTAGCTTAGCGGATTAAAGGACCTGGTTAGGCAGATGCAGGGACTGGGGTTCGATCCCTGGCCTACCATGCCAGCCCCGCCCCGGGGGCATGCTGAGATGGCAATTGAAACTGGGTGTGTTGGCACACACCTGTAATCTCAGCGCTTGGGAGGCTGAAAACAGGAGGCTCACTACAAGTCTAATCTGTGTAGTGAGACCCTGTAGACCCTGTACTAAATATATAAAGTAAAAATAAATAAATAAAATTTCAAAGATTTAAGAGAAAACTTAATGCTTTGGAGATCTAAATTCTTTCTATGCATTCAGACCGCTGGGGATGTGTCAGCTGTCTTGATGCTCAGTACTGGTACCTTCAGCATTCGATGAACTTGAAAGGATGACTTGGATGTTGGCTTTAAAGCCAGTGGATTGGGCCAGGGATATAGTTTGGCGGTCTTAGCACCTGCCTGGCAAGTGCAAGGACCTGGGTTTGATCCTGGTACCACATGCTGTGCAGGCCCCATGCTGAGCTAGTCATTGAGACTGGGCGTGGAGGCACATGCCTACAATCCCAGTGCAGGGGAGGCTGAGACAGGAAGGTTACTATGAGTTTGAGCTGTGTAGTGAGACCTTGTAGCAAATAAATAAATAAATACATAAAATATTTTTAAAAATAAAACCAATGGATCAATTCCTGGTATAATAAAATAAAATAAAAATAAAACCAGTGGATTTGGAGTCAAGGTGGTGGCATATAATGGTGATCCTAATGACTCAGAAGACTGAGTCAAGAGGGTCGTAATTCAAGGCCAGTTTGGCACCGTAGCAAAATCCTGTCCCAAAATTTAATAAAAGAGCTGGGGATGTGTTTTAGTAGTGGAGTGCTTACCTGTCATGTGAGAGACCCTGAGATCGGTCCCCATTACTGCAAAAACAAGCAAAAGCCAGTGGTTTGGGGTCCTGGGATGGTATTGGAATGACTCTGGGCCAGTAGGGAAATAACTACTATCTTCAGAAATGCCTTTCTGTAGAAAATTAAATCAAAGGTAGCTGATGGGGGCCAATCTACTGTGAAGTTGTCATGAAAAAATAAAAGTGTGACATGTTGAAAAAAAGGTGATAGGATCCAGTGAAGGGAGTCCCAGGGCTATTTTGTGAACATCCTTGTGTATTTGGCCTGAGGTAGTACTTTCACCAATATCGTAGCCTGAATAAAGGCACCCTTAGCTAGCCCGTGAGAGGCTGAAGACGTGTCTCTCACACTATCAAAAGGACTTTAAAATAGCAGGAAGCCTTTATTCCACTTTTTACTGTTCTAGAGCTGAAGACATCAGAGGGGGCTTAATGCTGTGGGGCTTTAGAAATATAGATCTTGGCCCTGAAAAAAGCCACCACCACCAAATTATTATACGGTAGAAACTCCTACTGTATGTACTGCTTTTGCTAATCTTAGGGTCTTGGGACTGTTTCTATCACCCATGTTAATTGAGGACACACAGTTTTCATGGGGAACACTCTTTCCTTCCTGCCTCCCAGGACCCTAAAAATGGCCAGGTCAGATGGTGTGGAGTGTGAGGAAGCACTTCATATGTAGCAAAGCCTGGTTCATGCAAAAGGTCTCACGACAAGAACTGTGACTGACCGTGTGGGTGAATTTTATTCTGTGACATCTTTTCAGAACAGATCTCAGCAACCGCTTCCTCCTCTCTCCCCCCTGCTTAGGCCCCAGCCTCCTCTTCATCACATATGCAGAAGCCATAGCCAATATGCCAGCAGCCACATTTTTTGCCATCATCTTCTTCCTCATGTTAATCACCCTGGGTTTGGACAGCACAGTGAGTGAACAGGGAGGGCAAATGGGCTCTGGGAGGATGAAGATGACAGGGGATGGAAGGAGAGGGAGGAGGCCATTTCCTCCCACACTGGCCATCTCAGGCAGCATTAGCTGGTCCTCTGTGGTGTTGCCCAGGCCCTTGTCCATTTCTTGACCATGGCATGCACCATGCCGAGTACAATGGAGAGTCATTTGTGGGATAACAGGGGAAAGTGCCTGGCACAGGGAAAGGGCCCAGCACATGTGAATTCCTTCTTGCATGCTTACTCTTGGCCAGGTGGTGGCACCTAAAGGCCAGGACAAGGTCCCTCTTGTGTTTAGCATTCAGCTTAGCACTTTGCACTGAGACTAGGATGGAGTGAGTCTCAGCTTCGAGTTGGCCTTTATGGTACAACCAGACTCTCCAAGAGACCTCACATACTGAAGTTCTCTCCTTTGTTATCTTTTCTTTCCTGGCTGTTCTTAGTGATAGGTTTTAAGTGACAGAGTGCATCAGGGAAATATACTTCTCAGCAGTGCTCTTGGGCCAGTGAGTCTGGGAACTGCTCAGAATCAGCCTGATTAGTCACTTAGCGATCTCACCCTTTCTCCTGCTCACTGTCAACATGACTACTGTATGTGCCTCTCAGTTTGCAGGCTTGGAGGGGGTGATCACAGCTGTACTGGATGAGTTTCCACACATCTGGGCCAGGCGTCGAGAGTGGTTCGTGCTTGCTGTGGTCATAACTTGTTTCTTTGGATCCTTGACCACCTTGACTTTTGTAAGTACCAAGGCTCTCAGGTCTGAGCTGACTACTAGGGCCAAAAAATGCAGAAGAAGCCATTCCTTTCCTCCTTCCCCACATGGTATCCTGGTTTGGGGGCCCACAGAGGGGAATCACTAGAGCTATTAAAATGTTTGTTCCTGAGGGCTAGGGGTGTGGCCCAGTGGTAGAGTGCCTGCCTTGCATGTGTGAAGCTCTGGGTTTCATTTCCAGCACCAGGGGAAAAAAGCTGGTCACCAAGGAGAAGAGAAGTTGTTTCTGGCAGCATCCATTTGTAGTCTACATATTATCTGGAGGCTGTTAGCATTTTACAAGACATCCAATTATATTTCAGTCTTGGCAGAATATCTGGAAAAAAAATAGAATTTTCGTTTCCAGTGCATTTCCACTCCTTAAGACTGCTTTCATGGGAATATTGCCCTGGCGTCCTGGTATGCAGGAGAGTGGGAAGTGGGTGTCTTATGTGTACAACGTTACTTTGTCTCCTCTACAGCCGTGATGGCAAAGAAGTCCGATGTTCTCTGGTGTTCTTTTCTTGGTAGCTGAAGCAAATACAATAAAGCATTGATCAGACTGTGTTCCCCTAGTTGTCCTAGGTTGTGTCTTGCTGACTCAAGGTACCTTTTGCAGACAGACATCTTTATGTTTTGGCCCCAGTAGCCTAGGAACTTCAGCAGGGTGAGGTAAAAGGCCACATAGATCCAAGCTGCCAGGAGTTAGGTCAGGAAGGTGAAACTGACAGGGGTGCTCGCTGTGCCTGGTAACCATGGACCCTCCCAGATTTAGTTTTTAGTGGTGGGCAGTATCCAGGCTTGTTTATACAGAAAGCGTTCAATACGTTGAAGAAAACTCCTAATAGATCTAGAAGTCTTTTGGAGTTTGTCTCTTAAACCTTAGTGGTGAGAGGAAACAAGAAAAATGTGATCTGGGGCTGGGGCTCAATCGGAGAATACTTGCCTACTTACTATGCACCAGCCCTGGGTTTGATTCCCACCAGCAGAAAAAAACAAAAGTGATGGGCTCTGTGGTACAGAAAAGATGTCTGATGTGGCAAAACCTGGCCCACACTGCAAAGGCCACTCCAAGACGCAGGCTTGGAAGTAGTGACACTAGGTTCAAGGTTGGAATTTCCATCATTCCCTGAACTTTAAAAAGCTTTTCAGGCTCTGCAGCGAGGGGGAGGCCCTTAACAGATTTGGATCTTGTTCTCAGGGAGGAGCCTATGTGGTGAAACTGCTGGAGGAATACGCTACGGGGCCTGCGGTGCTAACAGTTGTGCTTATAGAAGCCATCGCGGTGTCTTGGTTCTATGGTAAGGTCTTTTGGCTTCCGCGAGGGCAGCCCCTTTTGACATGGCAGCCCACACAAATAGGGGCTGATTTCATCAAAGAAAGACAGGAAGGGGAAATTGACACATTGTGACCTCCTGTGAGTCTGTAAAATAATCTTAGCTGAGGGCGTTCTGCAGAAGTGAGTCATTGTCTCTGTGCTCTGTATGGAGTGGCCTCAGCCCGGCGGCTAACATTTCCTCCTATTGCACTTGAATGGTTACCGAGTGGAAGCTGAAGCAGCCTCACATAGTTCATCTTTGGTGGTAGGTTAAGATCCCAACAGGCTCTAACAATTAGAAAGATAACACAGAATTAGTGCACAGTGAATGCCTCTACAGTGTGTATGATATATCATTGTTAAATAGAATGGCCCCAGACCGGCATTTCTCAAGTAAGAGTTCCTTCCAGTGCTCTGAGAAGCTTAGGTACTCGTCTCCTAAAGAAAAGGCAAGAATTCTCTTATTTGCATTATCTGTCCTCCTTCTTAGGATGGAATTTGATGATATACTGCTAAGGGTGCAGGAAGGGAACTGAGAAGGGTCCTGGAGGACCCCAAGAGTCCCTGGGGTGATTTTGGACATTGGCAATTGAAGTGGGAAACATCAGTTCAGAGATGTCTCTCTGAAGTTAAGACGTGGTTACCTCATTCTAAAAATGTACCCTTCCTTCTCTATGATAATAAAATAGTTTTAGCATGTAGTCACTACACATATCATGAAAAAAGGAGAAGGCAGATTTTTAGTTGCATATAGGCCCAGTTTAAAAAATAATCATCAGCCGGGAAGACAGCTCAGTAGAATAAGCGCTTACCTGGCAAGTGCAGGGTCCTGAGTTCAATCCCCGGTACCAGAAAAAAAAAATTGTGAAGTTAAAAAATAATCATCAGCAGTTCAGAAGACAGAATTCAAAATGTGAATCACTGCAGACTTGTCTGCTCTCGGGACCATGGGTAGCTTTCGAGGGTGTCAACCACAGACCTTCTTGGTTTCTCACCTGCCAGTTGTGGTGAGAAAGTCTCATTTTGAGACCAGTCACATTTTATAGATGAATCCTCATCTTGATCTAGAATATGAATGAGGAAACTAGGGTTAAATTTTTCCTTTAACTCCAGCCTAGTTATATACTCTTTGTGTTCCCAGCTAGTCACCAGGAGGTTCACAAATTGAAGCCCAGCCTGGGAAACTTTGTGAGACCCTGCATAAAAATGAAATTTAAAAGCCTGCCAGGATATAGCTCAGCTTGGTGGAAGGGCACTCTTGGGTTTGAATCCCAGTACTGTGAGAAAAAAAAAAAAAGAAAGAAAAGAAAAAGAAAAAGAAAGAAAGAAAAGAAAAGAAAGAAAAAGTCTCAGAAGTTTGCAGGGTATAGTCAAGAGTTGGGTGGGTTGACCATGCCTAAACAAGATTCAGCCCTTCTTTTCTCTAATAACAGTCAGATCAAATCTATTATATGATCTTAGAAAAGCAGTGCAGGCACCAAGGTCAAGAGTTCATCAGCCTTCAGGTATATGTAGAAAGACCTTTGCTCACTATTAAAAGTGAAGTTTTTCATGACAAATCCCCTCCCTAGTCTCACTTCAGACCAGATTGGTGTCCCTGAGCTCCTCCTTGGAGAAATGCCAGAGCTGGGGCACTTGTTCAGTATAGAAATTCTGGCTTTCTTCTTGTAGTCCTAGTGACAAGAGGCTGATGTTGGTGACTGTGATGCCCCCTGAGAATCAGGGAATAGAAGGAAAGTCCATGTCCTCTCAGTCAGTTCTTTCTCTTTGGGATGGTTTCAGGGGTCACTCAGTTCTGCAGTGATGTGGAGGAGATGCTCGGCTTCAGCCCTGGATGGTTCTGGAGGGTCTGCTGGGTAGCCATCAGCCCTGTGCTCCTCCTGGTGAGTTGTCATTTCCCTTCTTCTTGCTCTGGAGAAAGACTCACCCCCAGAGACTTGCAACCAAATAAATTTCATTGAAGTACAACATATATGCAGAAAAACATGCCAATCATATGCATTTATCTCAAAGACATTTTATAAATAACACTACGTAGTCAAAATCATACAAAAACAAAATACCAAGAATCAAAAGGCATGAATAGTGCTCCATAACCCCTCTGTGTCCTTCTCTGTCACTGTGCCCGCCATGGGTCACCCCTCTTCTGATGTCTCACACATAAAGTAGTCTGGGCTTTGGTTATTTAGTACATCATTCCCCTGCCAAACAACAATGATAAAAACATTTATGAGCACTAAGCACCAGCCAGGCCAAATTTTGCACCCATCATTTTAATTTTCATGATCTTTCTATGAAGTAGGTATAGTGTTAGTGTTCCTGTTTTATATTTAAGAAAACTGAGGCTTACTGACATTAAAGTCAAATAACAGGTAAGAACTAGTCAAGACCAGGAAAGAATTTACTATATGGTTCAGGAAGCCCCTGAGAGATCCAAGCAATTTCATATTAAAAAATTTTGTATCTTCTTAAAGAAGCCCCTTACAAAGGTCCTCAAGCATAGGTCCAAGTCAAAAGTAGAAGCCATTTTTTATGCCAAAGGATTTGGTTAAGAAAGGTGAGTTCCAAGGATTGTCTATTTGCCAAGACAAGTTCGATATTCACTTTCCTCATGCTTATGTGTCCCAAGATTCCTCTGGTGTCTACCTGAAGAAAAGCATTTGGCCAAAGATGGGTCATGTCCTGCTGCTCTGGCAGGTGTGCACTTGCGGTCTTGTGGGGTAAACCCTCTCCGTGTGCACCAGCAGGGGTTATTCTTCAGTTCTTCCTCATATTTGTAACTTTGTTTGAGGGGCTGTTTGATGTGTTTAGAGCCAGAAATGTTTCTAGATCATTCTTTCAGTCCAACTTCAGCTTATTGTGAATATTCAGGCTAGTCCATTTTGTCTTAGGAGCTCTCTGCCACACAGCTGTCCCTTCCCTCCTTTAAAAAATCTCCCTTCTACATTCTACCTTGGGGACAGCCCCCTTTTTGTTTTGTAGCTGCACCTCTCAATATTAACATATACATAATGTTCATGAGTCTCTGTACCCTTAAAGCCCCCCTGACTTCCATTCCCCTGCACTCCAGAGGTTTCAAAAACCAAAACCAGCATTTCCCCCAAACAACAAATATTTCCAGGGCGCCGCGGCTGTTGTTGTAAGTGCTGGGCACCAATGGTCCTATAGATCGTGGCTCAGAAGATCCTTATGACCTTATCAGCTTATGGGTGCTTTATATGAGTATTAAATATAAGTATATATTTTATACAAGTGTATGTTATATATATTTATATATTTTGTAGAAATATATTTTTTAACACAGAAGTTTCAGTTGTTTTCAGTGAGAAGCTTGGTCTGAATCACCTGGCCCCCACTAAGAGGTGCTGGAGTCCTTCCATAAATGGGTCATCAATTTATATTAGTACCAGTGCCTCTTGATAATCGACTGAGATGCTTTCATTTGTTTTTCAAAGGAAGAAGAGACATTGGATGAGTTCCTTGAGGACAGAAACATGTTTGTTTATTTACTTCTGCTTTCCCTGCCTCGTGAGGAAATGTTGTCAGGGCCCAGATGTGGGTAAAGCAAGAGAAAACATTGACCAGTAACATAAAATTTAAGGCATTCTGAACTCAATCCTCACAATACGTACCGTTTTAATACAATTTTTTAAAAAATGCAAATACATGATGAACAATGTTTTACGTAGCACAAGACCTGACCCAGTAGCTGTGTGCTCACTTCCCTTGCTTTACCCTCATCTGGCCCCATCAGATACTGTTTCTTAAAAATTGTGCTAAAATATTATTTATCTTGATTACTGAAATAGTGGCTGCTCCCGAAATGCTCTGCCTGAAGTGAATGCTTCTCATACATTGCCCCGTCCCGGACCTGAGGCTTTTTGTTCTTTCATTTCTGGCAGTGTATGGTCAATGAGGTCCTTTGGCCGGCAAAGCTCATGTGTAGACTTGAGTGCAGGCCTATTATAATTCATTATTATATCATTACTCATAATTCCTGTGATGCTTGCTTTACTCCTCTACAGGCAAGTGTTCTAGTGCCCAATTAAGAGGAGGCTGATCTGTCTTTTACTCCTAAGTTTACATAACAGATCCCTGCTCTGAGCTTTTAAAGGCTGTTTTAGATAAACAACGAGTAACTTACTAAAAATATTTTTTCACTGAAGCCAAGTTATAAAAAATGAAAATATTGTGATTGTGTATAACCAAGAACAGGTTGGCCTTTCTGGAGGGTTTCTCTCTTCCCTTTTCTTTCTTTTCTCCCTCTACTGTCTCTCTTTCTCTGTCTCTGCCTGTCTCTCTGTCTCTGTCTCTGTCTCTGTCTCTGTCTGTCTCTGTGTCTCTGTGTCTCTCTGTCTCTGTCTCTGTCTCTCTCTTCCTTCCTTTCTCCCGTGAGTACTGGGGATTAAACTCAGGGCCTTACACATGCTAGATAAGCGCTCTCCCACTAAGCTACATCCCTCGCTTTTGAAAAACTTTGAAACAGGGTCTCACTAAATTGCCTAATCTGGCCTGAAATTTGCAATCCTCCTGCCTTCCCCTTCCAAACAGCTGGGATTACAGGCCCTGGCCACCGCATGTGGTTATGAGAGTTTCTAAAGAGTGTGAACCTTCTCTGACTGAGTTGGATTCCACGCACTTGACATCAAGATGATGAGTTCTAGCAGCAGCAGCAGCAGCAGCAGCTCCTAACCAGACCTGCTCTTTCTCTGTTCCCAAATTTCCTTCCTTAGTAACTGGTCTGGGATGAGACGAGTCAGTCAAGAAAGATTTGCAGCTGACCTCTTGTTTGAAGGCCTCCTTGTGGACTTAGGATAACACTGCCCAGAAGATAGATATGTGTTTAACAATTTCCCATTTTATTACCTGCAGACAAAGACAAAATATATAAATAGATTTTTAACCATGCAAATAATTTACGTTACTATCTTCTTTATGACCATAAAATAATAAAATAAAATAAAAGCAAGAGCTATGATGATTTCGACACAGTGGTTACTAGGCAAAAGTTGATATTTATGCTCTCTGGAAACCAAACTGAAACAAGAAACTAATAAACTGGGTGTTGAAAGCACACTTTGGAAGTATTCTTCATCAAAATTTTCACAGAATTCAAGTGAAAAATATACTAAGCTTTTCTTCCCCCTTTCCAAAATTCCTTTTATTACGAGGCCCTGGGACAGCAGTCATTCATTACTGAGATGTCTTGTGGCAGAGTCACCCTTGTTGAATCTCCAGCTAGAGAGCTTAATGCTGAAGGCAGAGATGGCGAGGAAGCTTCTGGGGAACCTGAATTCTCCTTGGGTCTTTAGAACCTTACCGCTTTCAGGTATAAGGCACCTTGCATCTGTAGTCTGTAGGGAAATGAGAACAAGGCAGAGAGGAAGGACTGGCAGGGACAGCGGAGTGGCCACCTGGGTCACTTGTGCCGTCCCCTCCTGAGGGGTGCCACACTCTTCTTGGCAGAGTTTCACTACTGGGGCAGAGTAACTTCTCTGACTTTGTAGGCAACTGTAGGGATATGGTACTATCCTTAGAGGCGGGGAGGAGGACACAGTAGGTCTGAGGTGGGTGATAGTGAAGAAAAACCTGGCCTTTGTATTTTTAGCTCAAAGTTTAAGTACCAAAATTGCTACTGCTGTGTTGAAGCTCAACCTATGATATATCACAATTGTATTTTCACTTTAGCATTTAGGATTTGTGGTATCAGAAGTGCACCTGCACGTTGTTAAGATTTTTAAGGTGTCTTGGAAATTTTTGTTACAGTTCATCATCTGCAGTTTTCTGATGATCCCGCCCCAGCTGCGACTTTTCCAATACAGTTATCCCCACTGGAGTGTCATCCTGGGTTACTGCATAGGAACTTCCTCTATTATCTGCATCCCCGCATATATAACTTATCGGCTGATCAGCACTCCAGGGACACTGAAGGAGGTATGTGCTAGAGTGTGTGTGTGTGTGTGTGTGTGTGTTGGGGGAGAAAACAAGTCCCTTTTATGCTCTATTCTAAAGAGTTACGTCTACATGAAATCACTAGGAAAGCTCTAAAGCTTATATCTTTATATACCTACATGATTGTATAGATCTCTAATGGTGTATACTGTTATAAAGCATCTTTCAAAGTTCCAAATATAAGGGCAAAAGAATGAGTTGATACTTTTTTTTTTTTTTGACACAGGATCTCACTAAATTGCTAAGATTCTGAGGTAGGGCTCAAACTTGCAATCCTCCTGCCTCAGCCTCCCAGAGTGCTGTGATTACAGGTATATACCACCACACACAGTGAGCTGATCTTGTGTGTGCCACAGCATTTACATAGCCCAAAGTTGTATACATAGCTCACATTTGGCCTATGTGCAGCTTCCTAAACCTATCAGACCGCTAAACCTTTGCCTCCCGCTTGCTATTGGGCATGGATATCGTATCTATGAATACTGATGCCACACAGATTTTAAGTGGAAATTATGGTAAAAATGCCCATGATAATTTTTCTACTAGTAACATGACAAGTACTATCTTAAAAATAATAACAAATGTGAGCAGTTCAACATACCATACTTATAGCTCAAAAAATTACTAGAAACAAGCTGCAACCATTCCACAAGAGAACTGTAAACTGCATGAATAGCAAACATAGATTCATAAATAAAAATTATTTTAAAAGATAATGCAATTTAATAAAATTATTAACTATCCAATAATACTGTAGCTTTAGCTCCAGCCATTGTAAATAAATTTTTTTGCCATGATACAAGATTCAATTTAGTAATGAATAATGTGATGTGAACTTTTTTATAATGGTACCTTACAATTTGTATGAGTCCACATTTCCCAAAACATCTGTACCAAAATGTCTCATCTGTCACCAAAATGTCTTAAGGTGTGGAGGGATAGGTATTGTCAGCAGGCAAGGTCACTGAGGCCAGGAACAATCTGTCAAAATATCCTATGTCATTGACTTATCTGATGATACGTAGTATAAGAACGCTGAGAATCCTGGGCTTGGGACTGTTGGCCCAGTATTCTTTTCATTTTTAGATGGAACATCCCTCTCATCCTTGGGGTTGACAGTTTGCTAGTGTAGACATTGGTACTGGTGGTTAGGGAGAGGATGGGAGCCACTGTCTTTCTCCGAATGCCAGAATGAGTGGTTCAGCCTTAGAGTCTATCAGCAGCATTATACTGTATATTAACAGAATAGAAAAAGTTTCAGTTGCTACATGTTTGGTTCCCAGAAAAAGCTATAATTTTTTGTTTTTTGTTGGTGCTGGGGTTAGACCCAGGGCTTGGCTCATGCTGGGCAAATCCTCTACCATCAGCCTGAAGGAGGTGGTGTTTAACTATCTCAGGTGCTCCTGTTTCTTGCTTCTCATGTGATATCTGAGGAATTTTAGTGTGACGGTCTTATGCTTGCCTTTTGCGTGTTAGAGCCCACGTACTATCCCAGGTCAGTTCTCAGGCCATTGTAGGGTAGAGTGCCTTGTAGCTTCTCCCAGATACTGCCCGTTACCTTTGAGTTTCTATCCTTCCAAAGCACTCAGCTATGGACTGAAGGCTTTGTCAGGCTCCTCTGGCCTAGTATGCTTTTCCTGTAGATGGCTTCTGAAATTTTGCTTTCAGTGACTTGATATGCCTTGCAAGTGGATGAATACTGCAATAACTATTTTTAAAGAGGATTTCCACTGCTATAGTTCAGTACTCAGATACTAAAATCATGAACACAAACTGTGCAATTTTGTGAATTTCATGAACTATGGAAATGAAACTCTGAATTCTATAGGTTCTATGCCCTAAAGAACAAACTCTGAGAATCAGAGAGTAGAAACATTTGAAGACTACTACATACTTTTTTAATCCCATTTTTTTTTTTTGTGGTACCATGGATCAAATTCAAGACCTTGCATTTGCCAAGCAAGCACTTATTCCTCGGAGCTATCTCCCCGGCCCCTTTAATCCCAAATTTTAAAAAAGACAGCAAAGCTTCACCAAAACATCAATAAGTCAAAAGATGTTTCAAAGCTAATTTTGCATGCTTATCAACATAAAGACTTTTCACCATCAAAGATTTACTAAGAAAGTTAATAAAGGTTTTCTAAGCTTTTGCTGTGCTGCTGTTGTTTTCTTCTGTACAGCCCTGAGCTGCTTGGTGTCATTCTGATGCTTAATTTTCATAAGGCAGGTTGTATAATTCATTCCTAAGCCCGAGCATATTTTAGCTACTAAAGCTTCTGTGCACCTCCGCCATTTGTGTAGTAGAAATTCTCAGCTTCTTCCCTCTGATGAGAACTATACTGATGTGAGTCTTCCTAAAAAGCGATAACTTAAATGGTTGCATCTTTTAAATTTTGTTCTATGGTAATATGCACACATATGCATGAACCGGCACTGCCTTATAGGTGGATTCACTGAATTGGTAAGATTCTGGCTATTGCCGTGGCCACGGCACTGGGCACTGTGGCTGCAGTGTGCATGCAGGGTGCAGAGAATCTGAGGGGCGGGTGGAACGAAATCCAGCCCTCACTCTGCTCCCTGGGCCCTGTGTGGCCATGGGAAGCTGCCTCTTGTCCGGAGAAAAGGGTGTCTCTTGTAAGGCAACAAAGGCATCTATCGTATGGGCCAACTGAGGTTCTATTAAAGGCATTTTTTTTCTAATTAGTGTTAAAAATAATACTCTTAACTAGTTTTCAGATGCTTAGACTTCAGACTGTACTATTTCTATCTTATATTTCAAAATCAAATAAGAGTTCCTTTCCTAAGGAAAGTCAGAGAGACTATCCCAACTTCTAATGATTGTCGTTATTAAAATGTGATTTAAGCATTGTTATAACAGAATGTTTTAACAGCAATGTTGAAATTTTTTTGGAATTTTGTTAAGTTACAAGACTTTTTATAATACTGTATTTTCTTTCCACAAGCGCATTATTAAAAGTATCACTCCAGAAACACCAACAGAGATTCCTTGTGGGGACATCCGCTTGAACGCTGTGTAACACACTGCAGTGGGAGCCGGCTTCCCAGCCCTCTAGCTCTGACAAATCCCGCCTCACCTCTTCCCTCTCAGTGAATGAGTTTCCAGCCTGCCTAATGGCGAAAGGATCTTCGTGGAGACACAGAGCCAAAAGTCTGCTGCCCAGACTTGCTGCCTCCATTAAGTCTCTGGGACATTATTACTACATTGGACTATGATACAACTGAACTGGCCTGTTTTGAGTGTGTGAAGGTGTGTATGGAGGTGATGAAAACTGCCCCCTCACTGACTAGCTTAGGTTTAGAATCAAGTTCGTGACTGTTTCCTGTGTCTTTTTTTTTGGGGGGGGTATAATTGTTATCTGATATCTGTTTGCCTCTAAAGGCTTCACTGTTCATGAATGCATTAAACATTAGAAGAAAATGGGATGTTGTCTTGCTCGCCATATATTTTCTGAATAGCATAGAATTCTATTGCTTGACTCTACTAGAACCTTCTTACCCATGTGCTTCTGTGGGTCAGGAAAAGATGATGTAAGAAGCTCAACTGAAAAATAATGTGTATATGTGAGCATTTGTGTCTGTGTATATTGTTATGTCTGTTTATTCTTATTTGTACTCCAACACTTTGGCCCCATTATAAACTATATGAATTTCCTTTAATTTTTTTACATTAACAAAACCTACCTATTCAAACATGCATGTATGTTATTATTTGAAAGGTGTGATTACTACAACATGCTCTGGTACCTTCTTTTTCAGTAATACTACTTTTGCTCACATACCCTTCTTATGGGCCAACTTTGGTATCTGCTATAGTTCATTGCTGGCTTCCTCCTCTCTCTCTCTCTCTCTCTCTCTCTCTCTCTCTCTCTCCATATTCAGGATGTTCCACAAGCAAATTTGGCCTATAATGTTAGTCACCATGGATTTGTTGTGAACGACTTTAAAGATGGATTTTGACACATCCACCTTCAATGTTCATCTGGACATTTGGATTAATTTCTATTTAGTTAAAATGATTTTGACTATGTAGGTTACTTTGTGCAGAAAAAATAAATCCAAATCTCACTTAGCTATAGGATATGTAGAATTGGTGTCTTGGCTTAAACTCACAAGGGCATCTTTGATCCAAGAGCAACTGGAGAGTCTGCTTAGACAAAAACTGTTTTCTGCCCTCACTTTGGTCCTTCCTAGCATCCAGGACAATATATTAGCCAGATAATTCTCAAGATCAAGTGTAGGCAAATGGAGAATAATCAGTTGTGTGAATGACCTTTCATTTCAGGTAAAGCTCATAATACAGATAAGTGAGTTTGGCTTTGGGCTTCCGACTCTCCGATGCATAGGTAGAGAAGCATATTTTACGCTGTGCTGTGAGACTTTATCAAAAGTTTAAAGGGACTATATTCTTGTCAATGACCAAAGAACTCAATTAGCTGGCCTGACACATCTTCAGTTCTCCATATAATTCAAATTTAATCTTAACAACTTTATAAAAAGCAGGTCCGTGCAGCAGAGGCCTGGATTTATCCAGTTACAGACCCTTCCCTGGCTGCCTTCCCCTAACAGTCTCTGCCCTGGCCATTTTTCTATATTTCCCCTGCATTCTGTTCTTTTTAATCTTTGGGGATAGTTTTTTGGGGTTTTTCTTTGTTTTTTTTTCCAGGTTCATAATTTATTGTACAAATTGAGTATTACATGATGAGTTGATATTAGCTCCTCCAGGCTTGGGACTTAACAGATGAGGTCAGACACTGTAAAATCCACTTACGCTGCTTTCACAGCTGGCGTTTTTTTAGACCTTAACTTGAAGTACAAGATAAGCATAGCAGTGCCTCCATATGTGGCCAGTACACAATTCATTCTACCTGTGAGAGTGTAAGAGTTGAAATACTTTTTGATACCAGTGAACTGGAACTGGGCATCATGTTCTGGACCTGCCATGATTTCAATCTCGCCAGAAACACCGCAGCTAACGTCCTTCAACCTGCACCTCCGCCACCACAGCTCGGCCAGCTGGGGATGGTTTTAAAGGCTAGCTGATAAGAAGTTTCCCAAATGTTAGAAGAAAAGGTGAATTTAATGTGCCTCTACTGACTTGCGTTATCTTCATTCTTTTATTTCTTCTTGCTGCTTTATTTCCATTCTAACGTGCTCAGAAAGAAGCTATGTAAGTGTAGTATATTCAGTGGTGAACAGATTTGCAAATGTTAAGAACCCGATTTTAAGCAAGGACTTTTATCTTTTCTTTCTTCTTTTTTTACGATTTTATTTATTTATTTATGTGTGTGTGTGTGTGTGTGTGTGTGTGTGTGGCCAGCTCAGCCCACCAGGGGGCGGGGCTGGCTGGCATGTGGTGCTGGGGGATTGAACCGCGGTCCCTGTGCTTTGCCAAGCTTGTTCTAAGTAGGTGCTTTAGACCACTGAGCCATCTCACCAGCCCTCTTTTTCTTTTTCTTTTATTTATTTATCTTTTTTTTTTTTTTTGGTACTGGGAATCAGACTCAGGCCCTTGCACTTGCCAGGCAGGTTCTTATGCCATTGAGCTATCATCTCCCCAGCCCCAAGAACCTGATTTTAAAATAGTTTTGAGTATGGCTTTTCTCCACTCTATCCATATGCACCAAGGCATTCTCTCAAGACTGTACTGTTTTTTTTTTTTTTGGACTGGGGATTGAATGTAGAGCCTTTGCACTGAGCTATGTCTCCATTTTTTAAAATTGACTGACTGACTGACTGACTGACTGATTGATTGATTGATTGAACTACTGAGACAGAGTTTCACTAAATCATTGAATCCAGGGCTAGGCTCAAATTTTTGATCCTCCTGCTTCAGCCTCCCAGAGTACCGGGATTACAGGCATGCACTACAATGCTCTGCTCAGATTATACTTTTTTATACACATTTTTTTCTAACAGACCTTTACCCAGTTAGGTGTTAGGTTTCAACCTTCATGAAAGTGAAATAAATCAAAATATCTGCTTTCCTACCTAGTTTACCCTTATTTGATCCTTATATATTAATAGCACTATGGATTTTTTAAAGAAAAATTTAAGAGGAGGCAAGCTTTAATATAATCTTTTGAAGACTTGTATATCTAACGTGACATTTTACATAAAAGCACAAACTAAAAATGGAATTGAACTGTAAAATAATTTAGGGACCTAATTTTTTCTTATGCTTCTATTAGTATTAAATGGACATGAAAGTGGGTGCAAGGGGTGTAGTTCAGTGGTAAAACATATGCGTAGTACATGCAAGGCCTTGGGTTCAATCTCAATAACCACAAACACCCTCCCCACAGGATATAGACAAGCTGCTGAGCAAAGACATGGAGAGTATTCAATTATTAGAAGTTGTTTCCTCTATTGATATGCTCTAAGGAATTTATCCCTAACTATAAACTTACCTAGAATGCATGAATGGTAACCTAAATTCGCCACCCCAGGTGCCTCATTTGGAGATGGATGCAAAGATCCTGGCAAATCTAAAGTCAGTGTAATGGCTCCAAAGTCAAACAATGGAACCACAAAATAAGGCAAAAAGTTATTCTACATGTAAGATGAATGACTTTGAGCTATTTTGTTTTGACTACGTTTGTTAATCTGGTGCTACCAATCTCAATTTTTAAGTGTAAGTATGAATGTCCACTTAACTACCATCACCCAAAAGGGAGACTGATTCTCCTGGAATTAGAAATTTGGTTTTGGTGGTGCTGAGGATCGAACCCAGGGCCTCATGTATGCCAGGCAAGAGCTCTACCACTGAGTGATATCTCCAGCTGCTAGTTATTTCTTATTAGTAGGAAAGACTACCCTGATGTGTTCTATCAATGACATAATTGACTTAGAGTTCACTATCAAAGGTTATCGTTGTGGAATGCAATGATCTATCATCCTTACATGTATCATAGACAATGATACAACCCAAGCTCATTGGATTGTTCATTTCTTAGTATGTCTCTTTACTCCTAAGTCCACCTGTGATACTTAAGACAACAGAATTTGCTAGGATGGTTGTCTTCATCAAACACAGTGGGGCATTTTTCATCGTTCTATTTCTGTCTGGGAGAGGTAGGGAAAAGCAGCAGGGGATTCCTCAGAGAGGCCAGCCAGTGGTAGTGAACTTATGGCCTGTGTTCCACAGTGGGCTATTATCACTGAAAGCTTTAAAGGTTTGCCATCGCTGTGTGCCATAGCCTGTCATCCCTATAAATAATGTAATAAAAGAGTACTGTGCCAAGTGGGAAAAAGAAGTACAAGTCATCATGAAATTCATACACCATTTTTTATGTTTAAATGTTTTTGGCAGAACCGGGGATTGAACTCAGACCCTTGCGCTTGCCAGGGAAGCGCTTATTCTACTGAGTCATCTCCCCGGCCCCCACACACCATTTTTCAAAACAAGGATTACACAGAGGTTCTAACCAAGAAGGTGAATTTAGAAAGTGTTTGCATGAGAAGCATGTTGAGGAGTGAAATTCATAAATCTAAATATGAAAAAGGGACAAGAGAGGAAATATTAACATATTAGAAAAGCAGAAAGTTTTCATTTACTGGGAGCACTTTGGTTTCTAAATGTCTTTCAAAATGGAAATAATGATTTTTTTAAAATGAAATTTGCCATGTTTAATTCCATGGAAAGAATATGTCAAAGTCCTCCCCCCTTTTTCTTGCTACTTTCTATAGCAGCACCCTTTTCTTGCTACTCTCTGTAGTAATACCCTTTTCTTTCATTGCTGTCTCTAAGTTTAAACAATAGAAAAGATCTAAAGCTTGATGATCAAACTAATCTGTCTGTTCTTCCTGGCATCTGAAAATTTCTAAAGAAAGGTGAACATAAATTTTATTTCCCCTACTAGAATGAAATAATGCACCTCAGTTGGCTTAACAGAGAGGTTGTAGAAAAGATATTTTAGGATAGAATCTTAAGTGTTTCCCACTTCCACATAGTTATAATCAGTTCAGTCTTGCTTCCATATTAGATTTTCTTTTTAAAGCCTCGCCTTTGTAGAAGAAGGGTTCTTTTGTTGGAAATGATTCACAATAGGTATCAACTGGAATGCGAGGTGATAGTTGTTAGCAGTTATCAAAAAATTTGAGCCAAGTTGTTCTAGCAAGTCCAGAGTGTGTGTGTGTGTGTGTGTGTGTGTGTGTGTGTGTGACTGTGCCATATGTTTTGGTTCTTTGCTTTGGTGCTTCATTAAGCAAGCACTCTCTACCACTGAGACACATCCCTAGCCCAATGCTACTATTTAAAAAAGTATCAAAATAGATTTTCTTCACTGGACAATCCTAGTTTGGACATAATATGCAGTGGTGAAACACAGCATCAGAAAAACGTTTTGATGTCTACTGAACTAGGAGCCTTGGCATTCAGGGGACAGAATAGACAATATTTGTCCTGTAATTCTATAGTTGTAGTCTAAAATGTAAGTAATTTATTTCTAGTAACTTATAAACACTAATGTGGGACTAAATATATTGCATTTCTATGTTAAAATGTTATATACAAACAAGAGCATTTTCTTTTCTTTTAGAAAAGATATTTTGGAAGATTACTATTATTCATACCCTAAAATTAAAGGTATACATTAAACTCAATAGGTGAAAAATACATATTTTAAAAAGATAAAAT